ATAAATTGTGCGATATTCGTAATGCTCAGTAACCGGTATTATTTTGGGGGTTTTGTTGACTTGAATACTGTTCAGATTAGAGAGCATTTAGTTACTGTTATCATTGTTTTGTTCATGAGAACCTATGTTGAGGTACTTTATATTATTTTCGAGCGTGGAAGCGTTCTGGCAGCACAGGGTTGGCCCAACTCTTCAAGTGCTGATAAGAAAATGATATTCATATGATGGCTGAACGCGTGCTATTGCACTTGTAAAGACACAAACAAACTTTTTAATTTACGAGGCACTTTACAACGTTTACTTTTGATGGTCCCTCGAAATGTTGTTAACTCTGTGATTCTATGAGTTCCGCCTGTCCTGAGTAGAAAATATAATATGTACATACATACATACATATGTACATATTACGGTAGGTAAGTAAAGATAATAGGACATCATATGTGCATAGATACATAAATGTATGTATAGAGACAAACATACATAAACACTCGATTATTCCGGCAAAAAAAAAACGCCCTGTTTGGAATTCAAATTACGCAGTAGAAATTCTCAAAGGACGAAAAATCGAAACTGGAACGGTGCCGACGCCAGTCAAATATGAGAAAGGTGGAGGAAAAAGAAGCAATAGCCCCCTTAGACTTAGCTCCATCTTAAGCATGTCACGAAAGTAAATTGCGTAATATGGATTAATTCACAACTTACCTTGTAAAAAAGTTATTAGCGTCGCTATTCCACGATTATGTATATAAAATGCTTCTAATGTTAGTTATCAAAATATGTTCTGTGTCTGTTAACTTTATTTGTAATTATTATAAAAACGCCTTTGCAGCGTTGCAAATTGTAGTAACTTTTTGCCACTCTTGTATTGCTTGCCAGTCCTTGTATACTATTTCATTTGCGAAGCACGGCGTACTGCAGAATACACAGGTTTGACTTTGAAGTCTCCTTTGCTAAATACAAACGAACCCAGTGTGTACGTTTAAATGTAAGAATTGAGATTGCGCAGAACACGCAAAATTTTTGCAGTTCAAAGTTAACCGTTATTGCTTTGTACGTCGGAACTAGTTCGGTATTGGTTCTTTCTCTAAAAAATATCAACAGAACTACATTCTACACGTAGTACATATTTTGAAAATGATAAGGTATATTTTGGTATATTTCTGAGGGTCAGGCGGTTTATTTTATTGATAAATCCGAGGTCACACTGATTCTCTAAATTATACCAGTGCTGCCAACTTTTCATCATGAAAAAATCCGTTACTAGCTTGGTCAAGAGACAAAAAAGTGCTGAAATTCCAGAAAAAGAAAAAAAAAGCGTAATTTATGGGCTTACTATTTTGTGTGGTAACGTGATAATTAAGAGTGTTTTACAGTTTTAACGCCAATAACTCATCACACCTTATGAAACCTTATTTTCTTAGTCATTGAAATTAATTCCTTAATCAAGACTTAACCAGATTAATCTGCCTAAAAACCTATGATATGATATGATACAAAACGGAAAAGGCCCAAACGCATTTCTAAAAAATCAAGAATTCCCGCTTTTCCACAATTCCAAAATTTTTCCCGCAGTTAGTCTGAAAAAAACAGCCAGATTTGACGAAAAAAAAGCGGATTTGGCACCACTGGGTCACAATTCGCAACTTTTTTGGAACACAAAGAGTTTTGGTTTCTGCTTCAGAACAAATCAAGTTACAAAGCCCAAACCCCAACTCAATTGTAGAGACGTGCTCTCTTTTCAGTGGAGAATAGAGTGTTTTTGTGGAGACTTTCCCCTCATTTTCGTGGTGTGGCAGCATGTTGCTGAAATTTTTCAAATCAAAGTACGGGAACGCGTATGGAATAACGCAACAATGAATCTTTATTCCATACGCGTTCCCGTAAGATACATTTTGTATGGGAAAAATTTCAGCAACATGGGGAAATGAAGTAGCAGCATTGTTGTGCAACTTTGGCACGGAATGAGCAACAATCTGCATACCTTGGGAAAATGGATATTATGGACTTGAGATATTGTTTGAATTTTCAGGCTCCAATTAATGCAAAAACTACTCAGTCTCTGTTCTAAAGATTTTGACAAAGTTTTGCAGCTCACGACTACCAATAATAGGTATCAGAACTGGGATAAATGTATTTATAACACACAAACATGTGCATTAATATGTAAAAAACATGTCAATCTAGGATAAAATCATAAATAATGTTTCAATGGAGCTTGGAACAAAACATTTAACACCAATTAAAAGAAATAAGGTATACAAAAGTACATACGCATAGAAGATACTTGGTTGACCAGCAACACTGACGTAACATTTCGTCAAAATTTAAGTTTTATGCTTGGCCGTTTTTGTTTGAACCTTAATATGTAAACAATCCAATGAAAAAGAGTTCTAAAAACTAACCAATCCTGAACTAAATTTATGTATCTATCGGATAAAAGTATTTTTTTAGGGCTGAGAGGGCCAACTATCTAGTAATATTAAACTGAATATCAAAATTGACGAATTTCATATCACAAAATATCACGGTATGGCAGCCCGCATCAACTACGAATTGCACGAGTCTGGCAACGCCACAAAACGACGACAAATTCGTTTTATGCTGATTTTGTTTGAACCTTAATATGTAAATAATCCAATAAAAAGGACTTCTGAAAACTTGCCAATCTCTTAAAAAATTTATGTATCTATCGGATAAAATTATTTGTTTAGGTCTGAGAGTCCCAGCTAGCTGGTAATATTAAACGGAATATCAATATCGAGGAATATCAACGTCTAATGTTTTGAAAAAACAATCGATACTATCGTGATAGCTCTAATAATTATTAAAAAACCATTGAAACCTTTTAGGAACTTGTCCATTGTAAAAATTAGATGCCACCTGTCGATTTGTTTACAAATTTGTCTTCGTATTTTATAGCAGCCAATCCAAACATATCAAAAGCGCAACGACTGTAGCTCGATAATATCATGATAGTCGCAAAACCGTCGATAGTAGAGACTAGCAGTAAAATATCGATTCTATCGATAGTGCCCTCGATGGTTTGACACCTCTATGACTAATTATTTTTTTGTGGAACACAAATCAAAAGGCGTAGTAACAATCAACAAGTGATCATGTCCGGCGATGGAAAGAAAACTTTTACGCGTGCCGAGGTCGCCAAGCACAACACAAACAAGGATACCTGGCTGCTCATCCACAACAGTATCTACGATGTCACGGCGTTTTTGAACGAGGTGGGTGAGAAATCGACTGCACGGCACTGCAGTGGCAACAACAGCAACAAGATTGCTACACGTCGAATCTAGGACGACACGACGACCTAATCTGGGGCTATATCTACAATAATGGAGTGGAGTACTTAAAAAGGCAGGCACACATGTGCACATGTAGAAAGGCACCCTGCGTGTGAACAGAATCAGGTGGAATTAGATCTGTACTTTGACCCGTGAACATTGATTGACCTGTGGCTTGATGTAGGCGATTATTTTTCGAGTTTCACAGAAATTTCTAGTAGTCATTGGCACGTTGCTTTTTCTGTGCTCGCCCTATCTATCCGAGCCCCCATTTTAGCTCTTGCTTTCCGCTTTGTCCGTTTAAATCGTTCGCCGCTTTGAGTTTCGAAACTAGCCACCTCGTAATATTCATAAATATGTACGTAGATATGTATTATGCGAGTAAATGGGTATTTTGAGCGAGGGTCAAACCAGGGTCCGCATTTGCATATCATTTGGGTGGCTAGACAATTCCTACGCAATTCCATTGTTATTGGGTGGTAATATCACATTCTTTACATCGTCACCCCGATAAAGCAAGTCGAAGAAACCGCCCCCAACCCACTGATATCGTTGAGATTGGGGTTGCTTTCGTGCTCTTTTGATAAGCTGGATGGAACCTCAAACTAACGATGACGCTGCATTTCGTGTCTGGAAAATAGCAATAGTGTGGATGACAATGCTTCGCACTTTGGTTTCATTTCTAATTCAAATAATGTTTTCCGCAGCCGCTATCGTTCCCAGGAAGCCACTAGCCAGCCATGTCATGTTTTAAACATTCGCCCCATCTGCTGTGATCTTTGCTGTGTTAGTTCCCTTTTTTCGTTACTTGTGGATGTCTTTTTTCAGGTTCAGTCGCCCATTAGCATATCTATACAGCTTCAGTACCACTTTAACGAATGATTTATGCGAATATTTATTTTGCCTTTTTTGTTTTTTTTTTCGTGGCCTTCTGCAGCATCCCGGAGGCGAGGAAGTGCTCATCGAGCAAGCCGGCAAAGATGCCACAGAGAATTTCGAGGATGTGGGACACAGCAACGATGCCCGTGAAATGATGACAAAGTACAAAATCGGAGAGCTGGTGGAAAGCGAACGCACCAATGTGGCGCAGAAGTCGGAGCCCACCTGGAGCACGGACACGCAGAACGAGGAGAGTTCGGTGAAGTCGTGGCTGGTGCCCCTGGTCCTCTGCCTGGTGGCCACCCTCTTCTATAAGTACTTCTTCGGCAGTGCCAAGCAGCAGTAGACGACATCAGGAGCTAGAAGAGACTACGCCTGCTTCCGCGGAACAGCCGTGCGTCCCTCCCACTTACCACTTAGTTAGTTATACACACAATCTACAAATAACACTCGGAATGGACCCGGACTCTTGTAGAGGATTAGTGAATGGAATGGATTGGGATCGGATGGTCGAAGGAGCAGGAGTAGGCGTATCGATTTTTTATAGTACATTTCTGCTAAGTTTTTAAAGATAATTCATCTGAATGTTGTTTAGCATTTGACCTTCTTTTGTACTCTTACTCTTTGTAATTCCTTCAGGCGGTGGGGCTTGTGCTCTGTTATTAATGATATTCTAACTTTGCGACACAAACTGGAAGCCAAACATAAAATAAAAACATCAAATATGTGTGTGTACGTTAAGCATATTCCAAAAAGAAAAAATAAGTTCAGTTTGATTTGTTAGTTCGTCGGGGAAAAACCATTTTTAAATTTCATATTTCTAATTTTATCTAAATTTAAGCTGATGCAAGTGGATATTTCCAGCCGAAAGGAAGTAGACCAAACCCACACCCCACAATGGCCAAGTTTCTTCACATGGCACTGATGTTCGGCAGCTCCAAGCTAGCCAACAGCAATTTTCGATATGACGCTACGTCGCCTGGAGCGGAGCAGATTCCACAGATGAAGCGGGAACTGCCAACGCGGAACATGTGCCTGGCCGCCATCAAATCGAACAAGTACGATGTCCTCATCATTGGCGGCGGCGCAGTTGGAGCGGGCTGTGCCCTGGACGCGGCCACGCGAGGCCTCAAAACGGCCCTGGTCGAGGGCGACGACTTCGGCAGCGGCACTTCATCCAAGTCCAGCAAACTCTTGCACGGCGGCTTCAGGGACTTGGAACAGGCGATAAGGCGCTTCGATCGGGCCGCTTTTCGGCGCGTGCAGAGCTCTCTGATGGAACGAAGCAAAATTGGGAATCTGGCGCCGCATCTCAACCAGCCTGTGCCGATCATGCTCCCAATACATCGTTGGTGGCAGGCACCGCTCTACTACCTGGAGCTCAGCCTGTACCACATGCTGGCTCCCAAGGGAACAAAGAGCTTTCAGTACATCAGCGCCGACGAGGCCGTGGATATATTTCCAATGATGCGAAGAGGGGATCTCTTTGGAGCCTTCGTTTTCTACGAGAAGCAGTATGACGATGCGCGCATGTGCCTCTCAGTGGCACTGACGGCTGCCCGCTACGGAGCTGACATCTGCAACCACATGAGAGTGGAAAGGCTGCTCAAGAACAGCGATGGAAATATTGCCGGGGCCCAGGCCGTTGACCAGTTAACGGGCAAGTCGTACAAGATAAGGGCGAAGATAGTCATAAATGCCACCGGGCACTTGAGCGACAGCGTGCGCTTGATGGAGGACCCGATGGCAGAGCAGCTATGCACCACCAGCTGGGGTTCTATTGCCGTCTTTCCACGCTTCTACTGCCCCGAGCATGTGGGTGTGTTTGATCCGCACACGAAGGACGGTGGATCGATATTCTTTCTGCCTTGGCAGGGACACACTCTCGTGGGAACCAGCGGCGAGGCCTGCGATGTGTCTGGAAATACGTCTGCCCATCCGCAGCCGTCGGAGCGAGAGGTGCAGTGCCTGCTGGACGGAATCAAGCACTTTGTTAGCCCAAACTTCGATGTGCGCCGGTGCGACGTTCTCGCAGTTTGGGGCGGCTTCAGGGCAATGCCCGTGGAATCGGCTTCACTGAAAAACACCCTATTGAGGAATCACGTCGTCAATCTGGGTCCCAGGAACATGGTGTCCATTGTGGGCGGCACCTGGTCCTCGTTCCGCATGCTGGCCGAAAAGGCGGTCAACGCTGCCATTAAATTCGGCAATATAGACGTCCTCCGGCCAGACTCGGTGACGGCGGACGCTTGCAAGCTGGATGGGGCCAGTGGCTGGTCCCCAAGGATGTTCATACGGTTGGTGCGGGACTTTGGCATGGAGCGCGATGTCGCCGAGCACCTCTCGAACACGTACGGCTCCAATGCTTTCAAAGTAGCCGTCAACGCCACGAGTAGCGGCAAAGGGTGGCCCATTGTTGGAAAGAGGCTGCACTCGGAGTTTCCCTATATAGAGGCCGATGTGAAGCAGGGCGTGAGAGACTATGCCTGTACCCTCGTGGACATGGTGGCCCGCCGTCTTCGCGTGGCATTCCTCAATGTGCAGGTGGCCGACGAGATCCTGCCGCAGGTGGCGAACATAATGGGCCGCGAGCTGAAGTGGTCCAACGACCGCAGGACTAAAGAGATTGACGAGGCGCGCAGATTTCTCAACACCCAAATGGGCCAGCTGAGCGGCGATCCTGTTCACCTTAGCGTCCCCATTAAGATGGCCGTGCGGCAGGTACAGAAATATGTGAGCCACTTCAGGACCATGGACGAGAACAACACCGGCTATGTGACGATCAGCGACTGCTGCAAAGCGATGAAGACGATGGGTGTCAAGGAGGTGCCCGTCGATCTGATGCACAACGTCCTGCGCGACATCGACTGCCACGCTCAGGGAAAGGTGAATCTGTACGAGTTCCTGCTGCTCATGTCGGCCGTAGTACAAGGGGATACCGAATACTTGCGTTACGCCAAGATATGCATAGACCAAAAGCTCGTGTCTGTGAGCAACCAACATCACCGTGCAGTGCCAGTAGAGCGGGCATGCGGTGGACCTTAAAACTATGCGGGATGGAGAGTGTCCAATGCCTGGGCAATGGCGAGCGATCCTTATAGAGCATTTCACGTAGGAACGGATCCTTTGGGACCGAGACCATAAATATAGTTTATTTTAAACATTCCAATTCACACACAATTCGGTTAGTTAAAGCAAAGCATACAGTTTTAGCTAATCCTTTGGCTTCGCTTTGGGGTCGTAGGGCGTCATTAGGTTCTCAGAGAAGGCCTTGATGCTTTCCGGACCACGCACTTCCTTCTCGAGCAGCGGCAGCTTGGTTACGTGGAAGTCCTCGTACAAATCGGCTATCTGGTCCAAGTATTTCTCTTGTATCTTGTAGCGGGAGGCGCACATGTTGCAGGAGCTGTGAGAGTTGTTCAGGAACAGCAGCTGATTTACGATTATGTTGTGTACATCGATGCCGCACTTGGTCAGTTCTTGGACAAGTCGTTCCGTCTCATACAGGGAGAAGAACTCGGCAATGCACACGCAAACGAATGTAGTTTGATCCTGTCAACAAAGCCAATGCAATCCCAACTCGGTATTCTTGTTTCTTTTTGCTACTTACTGGATTCTTGAACTGTTCGTTGACCTGGGTGATCACTCGCAGCATGTCGTCCAGCTTCTGCGACAGGGTGTCCGCATTCACATCGGCCATGCCCAGCATGGAGACGAACTGCGTTAGAAGGGGCGCTACCTTCATCTTGAGTCGCAATAGCTTGCCCAGGCCTTTCTCCACCACCTGCGGGAATGCAATGAGGCGTAGCGTATGTCCGGTGGGCGCTGTGTCAAACACTACCACGGAGAAGTTCATGCCCTTCACCAGCTTCATCACCTCGGCGTAGCTCATGGCCTCGTCGATGCCCGGCAAAGCATTGATCATCTCCTGCATCACGCCCTTGCTAACGCGTAGAGCTTCGTTTTCGCCCTCAAAATATTCCTCGGGCAGCTCGTTGAGGCCCGCGTTTGGGTCTATTTCCATGGCAAACAAGTTGTCGAAGCCATTCACCTGGTGGATAGCATCAAATCGAATTAGTGAAAAGTGGGACAGTGGGACGATGAACTGGACTCTGAATTACCTTTGTGGGCACTTTGGTGAATTTCTGGTCGAAGGCATCGGATATGTTATGTGCCGGGTCTGTCGAAATTATGAGCACCGACTCGCGCACCCTTGCCAATTGCACGGCCAAGCTCGAGCTGAGAATTATACACACCCAAGCAGAAATGGGATTAGCGAGACACTTCCTCATGTGCACCTCACCTGTTTGTAGGTGCTTGTATCGGCTCACTCTCACCTGCAGGTTGTCTTGCCCACGCCACCTTTACCGCCAACAAAAATCCACTTCAAGGAGTCTTGCTCCACGAGATTTTGCAGGCTCGGGGGCAGCGGCTCCAGGTTGTCGACCATATTGTCAAATCAATCAAGACAACAAGCGACACGTAAGAAAGAAAATTTTAGTAAAATAAGGAATTTTTGTCTCGAAATTTTGTCATCGGTCGGGTAGAGTTAAGTGTGACCGCAGAATTATCGAAAAAATATACCGCCTGCCCCTCCGAAATATACCGAAATATACATTCTCATTTTGAAAATATACCGTAAATATACCGAGGAAAATCGAACTTAGCCCACGTAGCCCCCCTCTATTTAAACAGGTGAACAGCTTAATTAACCCGGAGAAAATAATACTGTTGGTAATTTTCCTTGTAGCTCCATCCTTCTTATTTATTACAAAACACAAATGACCACTATATCTTTCAGCTGAAGTGCGTAAACATTCTTCAAGGTTCATAATTTTAGAGTTTGTACTTAAATACCCACTGGTCGAGAATGGATTAATCGTTCTCAGTCAATGATCGGAAATAACATTCTTTGATTTTGATATTCGGCTTAATATTACTAGCGTAGAGCATTCAGCACTGAAAAAATAGGTTTATCTATTTGATGAATGAATTTCTCACAAGATTGGCTAGCTTTCAGAACTCCATTTTCTTTGATTGCTTACATCCTAAGGTCCAAACAAAAAAGTTGAGCAAAATATAAAAGCTTAAAACGTAAGTGAAATTAGATGTAACGTAGTGGGAATGGAATTTTACGTAATTTGACCACTTGTTGCGTGTCAACCGATAGTATGAACTTTGTATACCCTATTTCCTTTAACTAATGTTAAAGTTCTGGTTTCCAAGCTGCTTTTAAAGATTATTAATGACTTAATCTTAGAGTGAAATGTTTTTCATTTATTTTCTGTACATATAAATTCAATTCTATAATATCCTTTTCCCCAAGGGTATGTACATATGTCGTTGGAACTATCGACAGTCGACTAGTGTTGCTTGTGAACTAGATCAGAATCGAAACAGCTGCGAACCAGTCGAACTGATAAATTCAAATTAGTACATAATATTGCCTCAACAGCCAAATTTGAATAATCAAACAGCCCATAATATAATGGCCAATTCTATCAAAAAGTGCCTAGAAAACATTGATTGGTGGCTGTAGTACTCTTTTTAAGTTTATCATCAAGTAGCCACCGCGTCAGTATTGCGTGAATGTTATTGCGACCAATTTCTCAGGGCTCTGCTTCTTTCTGTCGTGCCTATTAAATGCACAAAAGCGGTCGGAACGAAAGAAAATCACAATAAAGTGTCGCGGATGCTTCGCGCCTCAGTCTCCGCGCCCCTCTACGGCTTGGACTGTTTATTGAGCAAATCGTGAGCTTATCACAAACAAGCCCTAGAGAGCGAAAAGAAACGGAAAATAAAAAAAAAATACACGCTGGCTTCGGTTACTGTAAATAGTGGCGAAAATACCTATAAAATTCGCATGTTAAAGTCGCTTTGTTTATCTACAATTTTTAAAATTCCAAATCTCTTAGGCTCCAAGTTTTTTGTGTAGGAATTCCATTGTTTCACCTCGCCGCCAAATTCCTTTCCCGCTTGCAGTGATCACCGCCTCGGACCGGTCCGCGTAGACTATTTGTCTCGCATAGTGCAGACGTACTCAGCCATAAGTAAAGCAACGTTCTTTATCGCGTCATACGGATGCTGTGCCCCCCTCCACCCACCATCAACAGGGGTAAGTAAAATGGAAATCTTAATGCACACAATCCGACAGCTAAAAAACGTTGAAGAGAGGGCGCACGTTAAGCTTTCAAATCGCTGAACCAATAAACTACGCCTGTAAATAATACAGTAGATATCGGATATATGTGAATCTTATGAATGATAGCAAGAAAGGAAGGCCCAAAATATTCCGTACTCATATCGATCGATCGTTGTTATCTGTAAGACATTCCATTCCCCTTAGCTATGATGAAACTATAAAAAAGAACAAGTTCTTAAAAGACCTTTCTTTTGAGCGATAAATAAATAAATTAAATGGCTTTCGGCATTATTGAATATAGTAAATGTAATCGACAAACAATATCGGCTAGTGCCACAAAGGAAATGGATACCTCACCTGTTTGATACCATCCTGATACGAATGATATAGGAAATTCCATCCAGTCATGACAGCCAGTAAATTAAATACACATCAATTAATGGTAAATAGATAATCTATTGACAATTCGATTTTAAGATACAGTCCCGCTGTTATTGGAGGGCTAAAAATAAACTTGGTATGGTATCGCGGTATTAAGTAGTTGCCATCCGAAAATACTTTCGGCCGGAAACATTTCAATTTCAATCACTTTCGAAGTGAGTGTAAAATGAAGTGATAAATTCACAGATGATTTATGTATTTGCCGCCTAGCCCTGTCTTCACAAAATATGAGCGTATTAAATTTGATGATATTGCTTGGGTCCCATTGTATTTCAGCTTTGCTCCAAAAGCACACACAGCACACACAACACACATACAGGCATCCGCTCCTCCTTTTGGAGGGGGCTCGCTCGCTCGCATGGACACAAGCGAAAAGTTGAAAGTTAAACAATAACACTTCCATAAACAAAGACCCAAACTCAGCCCCACACCCCCTACGCTCACACACACACACACCAACAACAAAAGCAGACTTATGCCAGGGAATGCCAATTTTGTTGAAATAAGCGTTTCAATTACCTGGACCTACACTCTCCCTCCCTTCCTGCTGGTTACACCATACATACATACATACATACATATAAAACTTTCAAAGACCAACACTCTGACCTAACCTGCGCCTGGCACAAGGTATATAAAGTAAGTAGGGTAAGCCAGTCCCTCTATGCGGCACCTACAAAGAGCACCCAGGTTGCCAAATGAGAGTGTGCTTTCTGCAAGCCTCACCTTGTGTAAAAAAAAAATCTTGTACTAAATGTTCTTATCTGGCGCGCTGTGTTAGGGAAATTTCCCCAACCCACTCCAGTGCTCGGGGGCATGTGAGGGCTTAACATTTTTTTTGTTGACTGTACTTTATCATAGCTTAGCACCTGACAATTTGCCATGAGGCATGCGGCCATTTCTTTTTGCTTTTTTGCCCTCTTTCGCGTTCTACTTCGCTGATGGGAAAGTAGTGCCATCGCGGGGTTTCCTATTCTTCCCGTTAGCTTTTGTTTTGTCTTTTGCAATGTGGTGGCTGCTCTGCTGCTAACTGCGCATCGTCTGAAACTGTTCCCCGACTGCCGCTGGATGTTGACGGTTGTGGGTCCTGCAGCTTTGTGGGTTCTTGTTGCCGTTGTTGCCTATCTCCTGTCTCCTGCCAGCCAACGCCTTTGAGACACGAAGCGCAGCGGGAACTAATTAAATTATATCCGATTAGTGCGCACAGCAGTGGAAACATCTAGAGTCCTTATCGCTTGCCTTTTTGCTGCCGTTGGTAACGGCTCCTACGCCCCTTTCTCGTCTGCCGCTCTTAAAACGGAATTAAATTAAAGACTTCAAGATTTTCAACAAGTCACTTCGTTCGTTAAATAAAATCCAAACGAAGTGGCGCTTATTAAAGAGTTTGTGGCACGCCACGTGCATGCAACAGGCTGCTTCCGCCCACGCCCACGCCCACGCCCACGAATTGCAGAGTTTTTGACTTGACAGCCCAGCCACAGCCCCCGTCAGTCACTCGCAGAAATCCCTTTGAATCACTGGCCCCTCCCCAGTGGCGGGAATTTCCAACGCAAAAAAAGACCTTTCCTATGCCATCCAAGGCTATGGTTTTGAGGGCC